CCATTTCTTCCCGGCGGCTTAATTGGCACCAAACCAATTTCGCTCAACTGGGAAATACATCCTTGGCAATTACTGCAGGGATTAACGGTATTAATTACAAGAGCCCGCAAGGTTTTTTTTTTCATTCGACGGCCGTTATGGCTGAGAACCGTAATCGTGCATTACCGAAAATTGCCAAGCCTAATTGGCGAAGCTACGACATTCGGGCGTTGAGAAATCGCTAATAGACCAAGTGGGAAAAAGCAATTTGTCTTTGGGTCGTAACTGCACCATCGAGTTTTCAATAAGCCACGGTTACAAGACGTATGCTTTCATGGTTCATCGATACAGTCACGAAAATACGCCCGGGAAACCGTATAAATTTGCTATACATAAAGGTACCGTGGAGGAGAAATAGAAGCGGTTGGAGTACATTAAAATTAATACGAACCATCGACCCAAAGTCTGTTAGGTAATATAACCTTGATATTTTATGTATGATCATAGTTACTGTTTTTACTATTTACAATAATAAAAATTATATTGTTAAATATTAAATAAAGACAATAAAAATTAAATAAGTAAACTCAATCCTTCTCTTTAGATATCGTCATTAAAATAAGGCAAAATTGCTGTTAATTAATTGTTTCTTAGTAATATAAAAATTTTAATTTTACATTTATTTTGAGAAATTTGCATTGATCTGATGTCACTAGCTCGAGGTTGCTTTCAGAACAACTGATTAAATAACCTATTCTGATATCTATCGTCAAATCGCTTAACTTAACATTTAACCTTTTGAGATTTAAGCGTATTTATACCTCCATTGTATTATCTACTATTAACTCTAAGTAAATTATAAACAAAGATACAAATATAGTTACATCTGTGTCAAGCATAACAAAAATAAATGACATTGTAAGGATAACGAAAGTAAACTCGCGATATGCATGGTTTGCAAAAACCTATAACGCATCTGACGAATTCGAAACAATGCGAACATAAAATACACAAATGTAAGTTTGATATGTGTCACATTGACCTATATCGCATTTATGTCGCACTAATTACTTATAAACAAAATTGTTTTTGTATATTGATAAACTGGCATAAAGTATGTACATAAAAATTTATGAATTGGTAACGCACACCTTAAACTGTAGGTGAAAAGAATATTAATAAAAATTGTTCATAATAAGTCATAAAAGCTTAATCCATAAACAATTTCGTTCTAACAATTTTGTATTTTTAGTTATGAAAATTAAAACGTCAAAATCTCAAAATTAACGTTTTTGGATAAAAAAATTTAATTAGGATTAAGGTGGAAACTTAGAATGTTAGGAAGAAATTGTTTACAAATAACTAATAAAACGTTATTCGTAAACAATTATAACCCATCTACCACCTATAACATTTATAACTATTTAACAGATTTAAAATTCCAACCATTTTATGAACCATTTCAAGTTTGAGGCATTTAACAACAAAGTGGGTTTTTATTCAAAAATAAAAAACTGCGGATGAGAATGATATCAATGAAAATTGTTGATGATAAATCACAAAAACCAATCCATAATCGATTTTTATTCTGTGGTTTCCCATTTTTAGCTATAATTTCTAAAATCCCAAAATCTCTGTATTGACATTTTTGGATAAAAAATTTTCGTTATTACTCGAAAACTAAAACTCCTAGAATGAAATGATGTAGATGAGATTTGTGTGTAATTAACAAATATTATAACATTATCCACAGGCGATTATAACCCAATTATGACTATTACCAACTTATCAGATTTAAAATTTCTAATAATTTGAACTTTGAGGTACTCAATAACAAAATGGATATTATCTCAAAAAAAAACTCAGGGGAAAATGATATTTATAAAAATTCTTCATAATAAATCATAAAAACTTAATCCATAAACAATTTCATTCTAACTATATTGCTTTTTAGTTATAAAGGATTAAATGTCAAAATCTCAAAATTAACGTTTTTATATAAAAAAAATTTAATTAGGATTAAGTGGAAAATTAAAAATACTAGGAGGAAATTGTTTGCAAATAACAAATAAAACGTTATCCGTAAACGATTACAACCCATCTGCAACCTATAACTATTACCAACTTAACAGATTTAAAATTCCAAACATTTCAAGTTTGATGCTTTTAATAACAAAGTGGGTTTTTACTAAAAAATGGAAAACTACGGATGAGAATAATATCAATGAAAATGGTTGATAATAAATCACAAAAACCTAATCCATAATCGATTTTTATCCTGCTGTTTCCCATTTTTAGCTATAATCCCTAAAATCCCAAAATCCCTGTATTGACGTTTTTGGATAAAAATTTTTGTTACTACTCGAAAACTAAAACTCCTAGGATGAAATGATGTGGATGAGATTTGTTTGTAATTAACAAATATAACATTATCCATAGGCGATTATAACCCAATTATGACTATTACCAACTTAGCAGATTTAAAATCCTAAACATTTCCACTTTGAGGCATTTAACAACAAAGTGGATTTTTATTCAAAAATGAAAAACTGCGGATGAGAATGATATCAATGAAAATTGCTGATAATAAATCACAAAAACCTAATACATAATCGATTTTTATCCTGTGGTTTCCCATTTTCAGCTATAATCCCTAAAATCCCAAAATCTCTGTATTGACGTTTTTGGATAAAAAATTTTCGTTACTACTCGAAAACTAAAACTCCTAGAATGAAATGATGTGGATCAGATTTGTTTGTATTAACAAATAAAACATTATCCACAAACGATTATAACCCAATTATGACTATTACCAACGTAGAAGATTTAAAATCTAACAATTCAACTTTGTGGTAATTAATAACAAAATGGGTTTTAACTCAAAAATAAAAAACTCTGTTCAAATTAAATTGTTCACAATAAATCAGAAAATCATAATCAACAAACGATTTCATTTCGACTATTTCGCCTTTTTGGTTAAAAACCATAAAGTTCAAAATTTTCTAAATTGGCGTTTTTGAGTGATCTTTTCTAATTTATTTTATTGTTTCCTTAGACTCCAATACTAGGCTGTAAATGTGTATCATCTGCAGAAGATGAACCTGATTTTTGAGCAATAATGATTAAATTACATGTTTTGGATCAATCACGACATGCAACAACTCTTTATTCTTTGTCTAAGAAAGATTGTTCGAAATCTTCATAAATTGTTTTTGTGTTTGTTCAGGATCTATCACATCTCTGACGTTTATTTAAGACAAATTTTTCTGTTGTCCCCTTGCAATTACTACGCTAAATAGGAGCTATTTCTACCGCGGATGTAACACTACTACGTATCACAGCGTAAACATAAAATAATGGATTTGTTTACAGTTTTTAGAGTTAACTTAATATCTTGACAGAACGATTTGACTTGACAAGATAAAGTAACTTTGAAACAATACAAACTATTTGAAGAGTTTTCTGATCAGTTAAGTAGATAATCGAGGATTCGGTAGTAATAAGCGAATTAGAACAATCTAAGTATGTTTATGAATTGCTTTTTGGCTAGAAAAAAATATGCGTGTACTATTGTGATAAGAAATAACGAGTAGTGAGGAATTTGACCTTCAAGTTCATCCGAATAGACCAGATAAATGACCATAGTGATTTAGAGATTGAACGTAGAACGCGAAGAAAGTAGCTGTGAAGTGAAAACATACACACCACTAAGTAAACAATATGTACTCACTCGTACTACTGAAAAAAAATGCAAATCTAAATATCATTCTTTTATGGCAGTTCACAACTAATTAAAGCAAGAATTTCTCAATTATTTCAATAGACCTGAATAGACATAATCTCAAGATATACACTTAGCAGGTTGAAAATCGTTATGTTTTGATGTCAAACAAATACAAACAACTTAGTACTATAATTAAATCTGTATATAAAAGTCAACATCACCATCTTTTTAAACTTACACTAATTTCGTTTACTCAATTCACGTGAATTTGCCTTTCTTATTTTTAACGTTTACCCCAGCACTTGTTTGTCACATGTTCTATGTACATTCTTGAATTTAACGTGTTTAAGAAATGCGATTTAACAAACACTACGTTTTAATAACATTTGATTGAGTGATTTATGGTTATACGTATTCACTGTTTGTTTTAACATTTTTCATACGTAATTGATTACTTATTTCGGAACAAAAATCTTGTAAGTTAAAGCTTGGATTATGATGTTCTTATAACAATAGTAGTTAACTCTGTTAATATTCTGCATCAATATCTATAACATTGTTTCTCACGTTAAAGATCATTGAACCGATTTAATTTTCTTAATAGGGCAATCGCTTTCGGAGCTCTCTCGTTTTCCCATCAATTTGGTCAATCGGCGCGAATGCCGATTAATTTCGAACAAAACAAATCTATTGACTGGCGGCGCCCGAACGGGTTAATAATAAAGAGGCATCATCCGGGAAATCGATACACGGCCCCATTATCAATTAGCATTGTGCGCGGTCCAGCCCTCGGATAATGACGCCACCAGAGGCCCCTGTTGTCCGCGTTCGATGCACATTAACGGCGTCGCACGAATGTCCGCACTCCCGCATCCAAATGCCAAATTGAAAGAACGATTTCGGTTGTGAGGAGTAACAATGCTTTGAATATCTGTTTACGGCGTTTTCGGTTACATACCAATACCAAAGGGAAATGTTTAATGGATGGTTCGCCGAGCATTCCTAACAAACTTTATTATTCAAAAGCTTCAAGTAAAATTTTTAAATTAAAAGTAGGAATATCTTTTTTGAGCTGTTGTGTCGCCGAACTCCTTTATCGGTAAGCGTGAGTGCATGTCGAAAAGTCGGAAGGATTAAGAGTGATGGATGTCCGCGGGTAAAACGACTACGATTCTAAGGGTAAGGGTGTCCGGGTAACGCCGACTTTGACCGTTAATTCGAAGCCGAGCAGCCGGCAACGGAAGTCTCAAGTCGGGATTACCACGGACCAAATGGATGAGTTTCTTCTTTCGCTTACCTAGATCGCCGTGTTGCCGGATCTTTCATGACCATCACTTCCGTAATTTCTCCGTATTTACTAAAATACTCTCGTAGACTTTCTGTAAACAAAAAAAAGTCATCAATGAATTGTATTAATTTTATGTATTCAATATAATTATTATGTTTCCCAAAAATATGCAAATGTATTTTACTTTGCAATATGTTTCAATTTGACGTGACGTTACCATAATATTAAAGTTATGTGAAAACTATATTACCGGTGTTCCAAAATGGACATGTTTTTAGTGGTAATTCCTTATTATATCTGTCATCATTACAAATCTGTCAGACAAAAATAAAGAGTATCGTTCCTAGAAACATAAAGAAAGAACAAAGTACCATTAGAACACACTCTTTTTTACAAAACCAGAGACTACATACAGAAATGCATGAATGATTACTTCTTATGAATTTTAATCGACGAAATAACAGATGCGATAAGCTGGTCATGATAAACAATTTTTTGTTAAATACAGTACATGCAATACATAATATACAACTGCATAGTAATGCCCCTTCCTCCTCCTACCCTTCATCACTTCCGCCATCCACGCTCTCTTCTCTCCATATCTCCCTCCATCAAATCGTCTCACCTCAGCATATGATCAATTGTCTCCCAATCATCCCCACACAATCTATACATCCGCTCCTCATCACCCATCCAATATTTTTACGCCCCCTCTTCGTTCCCGCGCGTAATCATACTTTTTCCTCCGTTATTATGACCTTATACTTATTATTGTATCTCCCTTCTTTCATTTGAGCATTCCGTTCCTGCGTTTCCACATCTCTTTCTCTACCCTCCAACTCTTTCCACAGTGTTGACCATTCCCTCCTCCGTATTTGTATTCTCTATTTCCCGGCCTTTATATTTTCTGTGTTGAGTACTCTACTTTGATATAATATTGCTTTCTTACTCTACTACACCAGTCTTAACCTCCCTCTAACACTCTCCCAAAATCTTAAAGTCGCTCCTCTGCTCCAACCCATCCTCGTATGTTTTTAATATATATTCCGGAGTCTCCCTGCTCAATCTTAAGACCCACCTTCAATATCTCTCCTGGATCTCCTCCACCATCTTGTGTTTCTTCCACCCCCATATTTCCGCTCCATACATTATTACACTCTTCACTAATCCATCAAACATTATTTTCCGCCTGCACAAATCTTTTCCAAATATTCGTTTGCTCCATTTTTACCTAATATGAGCCCCCACTCCATTATCCGCTCGAAAGGTAAAACCCAGGTAAGTAAACATTTTATCTAAAAGCGACACACTTAACTTGTGTTGCACACGGACTTCATCGAGTTTGTGACCAAATACGAAGTAAAATGAAGTATTTTGAAAGGGTCGTCAAGAGTTAGTTCCCCTAACTGCTATCTACTCCCTGGGGAACATGAATTGAAGCGGCAAACTATTATGCCACTAACTTCGAAAAAATTGGAAAAGTGTTCAATGCATTAGTCTGCAAACATAATAAGTTTTCATCTCACATGATATCGCTTCTCAAACTCTGGTCTATGAACCCAAGTTTTCCAGAAAAGAAGGTTTAAATGCGAGTGTAGAAAATGGATTTTCAAGGATATATTGCTTTGTAGTTTGTGATAGCAATTTAAATTCCTGTTTTTCTATGGAAGCAAGACTTTTAAAAAAGAGGGATTAACGATCCTGAATTTTATACCAGCCCTTTTTTGTTTTGGTCTCATTGAGCTTAAAAAATTAATTTTTTAAATATTCAAATTCTGCTCCATCTTTGCAAAGTGTTTCCAAAAAATTTTTGATTAAAGCAAGTTTGATGCGCAATGTCGGCAAAACTTCGTTGTGTTGCTAAATGTTTATTTTTGATATTTATACAACGATCTTAAGGGCCAATTTTTTTTAACATAATAATTTCTTTGCTATCCTATTTCTATAGGAAGCAATATTTGGTGTAGCCAGATGGCAAGTCTAAAATTACAGCCCCAATCTTCAAATCTGCACATATTTGCCATTTCAACGCTGCATTTTTTTTTAAATGTCTTATAATATCATAGGTAGCTCTTACTAAAATTATTGGTATCAATAAACAAAATATGCCTTATTGGACAGCAACAAACCCACCTGTGCTTCAAGATACTCCAGTACAATTATAAAAACTAACTGTGTGGTGCATTTTTTTGCCTACAAAACTGACTGCCATGTTATGTTTAATGGAGTTCCCTATCGTGTCATGTTGGAAGACAATTTTGGGCCAGAATTGGCTAAAGTTGACATCAGTGAGTTGGCCAAACAATTGATCTATTGTGCAAGTTCTGTAGTCGGATAATCTCGAGAATGGTCGCCTCGCTCATGCCATTTAACACAGTTAGATTTCTTCTTATATGATTGCGTTAAGTTGTTGATTTAAGCCAACAAGGCAACAAAGGTAGTGAAGCTCAGGACAATATCGAACGGAAAATTGCCAACGTTCCAGCCATTATGTGAGAAAAATTTGGTCTAAAGAATTGTTCGTTACAAACGTGCTCCCAATAAGAACAATATTGAATTCCATAGGTAAATATAAGATGTATGCTGCACATTGAATAAACTTCAGCCCAATATCTTAACTATTCTGTGTTTTATTTAAATACAAAATCGTTATGTCTTTATTGAAAATCTCGATATTTGTGTATTTTATATCTGTAACATTTATTTAATCTACGACTTCCACTAAAGAAATAGGTATGTAGAACGGTTTGCAAAGGGAATTTGCAATTAAAAATACATTTATCTTCTCCATTTCAATATATTCCAGTTTTAATTAATTTCAGATTTTATCGTAAACAAGAAAATAAACCAGTTGTAAAGCGTAATTGTTAAAGTTAGATTAATCAGTTACTAATAATAATTCAAAATAATATCAAGAAAAAAATATGACCTTAATTACAACTGTGAGGTTTACAAGATGAAAAATGGTAAAATGTATATACATTTTCGAGATGTAACTTTTGCAATATCGTGTCAAATTTCGTTAACCAAAGCACAACCGTAGTCGCCATAAACTAGATTTCTCACTTTAGATTGTTGCCAAGTCGGCCAGGCTTGTAAACAACATCAAAAGGGCGTAACTTCTTGAGCGAAAAGCTCGACTAGACGTCCGAGCTAATAATTAGTCGAATAATGGGCACGTGGTCCTGGAACGAGACAATTAGCATAATTCCGCGAGTCGAATTGCGTCGCAATTTCATAAATTACGCAAAACATCCGACGAGAGCTCTCCCCGCGATGGCAATTGTTTGTTCTAAATGCACTTATGTTTTGTCGTTACGCCCCCCATTTGAATTGGAAATGAGAAACTCGGTGTCACTAAATTTACCGTCCTTCTAGGAACTAAAGTCATTCTTCAAGTACAGTTCCTCTTTTTATCCTTTCTTTTTATTTACTTCCTCCCTCCGGTTTTCCGTGGTGGACGGCAAATTTCGTTGGAAACGGGTTTCCTTCTCCTTTTAATTTTAGTTACCAGTTACGAACGTTTTCAACCTTTTTAATTATATCGATAAAATAACAGCTTTTCTTTTAAGAGTGAAGCACAATACTCTTCTTGTATAAAGGCACAAAACAAACTAATTACAATCGCGGCCAGCTACCGTATTCAGTCCGGCGAAGCCACCATAATGAGACAATAATTATGTCTGCAATAAACACGTTTTAGTCGCGCTGTAGAAACTACAATGGCTTCCCAGTCGTGTTACGTTGTGCACTTTGTAAATTCGCAATTACACGCGATTGTTTCGTAGGATAAGTTGTGTAATAGTTAAGGTTATTTTGTTTTATTAAGGTTATCATTAAAGACAACTTGGATTTTTATTTTATTTTGATGGAGTTTGTCTTAAGGAAAATAAAATGTAAACGTCTAAACTTTCAACTAACTTATCGGGTGCAGGGGTAAATTTTCGTGACTTTAACACTTGAAGAATATTACTTTACTGTTTTGAAATGGAGATTGGGGGATCCCCTTTTGTTCTTACAAGAGATCGTAGACAATGGGAAGCCCATCAGATGCCGCGTTGTATCCTTCCCCTTCTTGCATATTTCACTTTATGGCTTTGCGGTCTCGGCAACACGCACGCGGCCATTAAAATTGAATTATTGTGATCCATTCTTCGGCGGTAGTCGTTTGTTACTCGCTAAGCGGGGGTTTTTCTGTCAGCATCCTGCCCCCCGTTATGTGGAGACCATGGAAAAAAAATATTCCGCGAATATTAAATCGTGCGTATAACGTACGGAATGGAATGGACCTTTCAGCGAAACCGCCCTGGCCGTTTGACGTCGGCTCTGGTTCTTCGGCTTCCGCCGGTTTGAGTTATGATGGCCAATAGAACAGAGCCGTTAGTCTCAGAAGTGAAAAAAAAGTTGTTCAGTATATCATGGTGTGAAATCGAAAAAAAATATTTTCTTCTACACCATCTTGACCCGTTTATTTTCGTAAACAAAACGTGTATATCTTTACCCCTCTAAAAACAAAACAATTTAATCTTAATGGATGCACGCACGCACGACTTGGGGTCGTAAAATGTGCGTCGAAAGGGGATTCCTAAGGCGCTCCGAACAATCCGGTTTAGTGTTCATATTATTTTTTTCGCTTTTCTTTTTATTGAAAGGCAATTTCCGGGTCAAATTGAAATCTTTGTATGTCGGCGAGGACGCCACTCCATGTGCCGTCGCCGATATGCGATCAGATCATGTCTCGCACGCTATAACCGCTTTTCTACTTCCGAGCCTTCCGACGGCGACCGACCTCTAAACCAAATCGCATTCAACCAGACAATTTTTACTCCTTCACTTCCTATTCGTATGTCGGCATTTTAATTCTACCGCATTCTCACTTTAAAAATTTAAATTCGATTTTCAAGTCAAATATTTTAAAACCATAGATTTCCGAATTGAGACTTTAGACATTAAATTACGTTATAACTCAAAAACTATGGTGATGGAAAAATCTGCTTAAAATGAAAAGTATTATCTATTACCCCAAAAAAGATAACAATCCATAACCAATTCGGTCAAAGCTATAATCCAATTTTAGTTGCATCCATGAAA